TAACGTAATAATGTATTTAGAAATTAAAATGTTTTAAAAATAATACATAATTAAAAAACAAAGAAAATCGATATTGATAGTGATTTTCTAATTACAGTGCTTGAGGTAATAACCGAGCAGAGGGGTGGAGACTTAGAAAATCTGTACAAGATCTGTCGTGATGAATACGAAAAGTTCAGATCACATAATAAACATAATAAAAATGGTAAATATATGTTATTTTTTATTACACAACGATTTATAATATACTTAATTTTCTTATTATATCAAGTCATTATAATATTCATTAATAATTAATTTAATAATTTAAAGAATATTCTTTTATCTTGCTTGGCAACACCTAATTAAATAATAAAAGCGTTGGTATTTTATTCGTCAAATTTATTGTATTCTCTACAAAAATTTAGATTTATAGAAATATGAGGTATCCAAAAAACCTTTTTATGATATAAAATTAATATTATTTAAAAAGCATAAAAATTTAAAACAAGATAATTCATATACATATAAAAAAACAATTTTTCAATCATTATTTGTAACTCTTAATAATTAACCTGTTTTTTTTTTTATAGAAGTGGATTCACTGACTAATTCCAAGGAGAAATATAAAACAGACGATGTAGGTACATCTATAAAGTGTATTACACAAAAAAAATCGACTTGGCAACAGCAAAAGGTTTTATTTTCACGAGCCCTTATTTGCACCAAGCGAGATAATGTGAATAAAAACTTTCAAAAGTAATATTCAAATGATTTGCTGAGAAAATCAAAATATTATCATTTTGATTGATCTTTCAGACTTTGACAAAATTAAGATTTGCGGCGCATGTCGTAGTCGGGCTTTTATTAGGGGCAGTTTTCTATAATTTCGGTGACAACGCGGGAAAAGCGGACAGCAACATTGCTTGCTTATTTTTCTTCCTGTTATTTTTATTCTTTGCAAATGCCATGCCAGCAGTGCAAATGTGTGAGACTCTTCTTTTACATACGTTGATCATCTATAATTTATTTGATTTTGTTAACAAATCACTATAAGTTATGTGTTCTTTTTCGTAACTCTAAAAAATTGATACAAATCTGTTCGACAATATTCTCATCCTAATGTACTTAATGTTATGAGAAATGCATCTTATAAATGTAATAAATAATATATCGCATTAAATGCATCTGATTGTAGTTCCCACAGAAGCGGCAGTATTCCTGCAGGAACATTTAAATAACTGGTACTCTTTGAGATCCTACTATAGCGTAAAAGTACTAACGGATCTTCCGATGCAAGTATGATTTAATTTAGCATTGCAAAGTTGTTACTAATTATTTTTCTCAGAGATAAAATTCTGACTTAATATTAGATTGTAATTAAATAAGTTGTTATTGCTTGTTCAATTAAAGTTTTGTTTAATTTTTAGATACTTTGCGCTTCATCTTTCCTGGTTATATCTTACTATATGACAGGACAACCAATGGAATATGATAGAATTCTACAGGCATGGGGTGTTTGCTTGTTAATTACAATTCTTGGACAAACGGTTGGGATACTTACAGGCACAGCTTTTGGTACTGAGGTATTTCAAACAATATTTTTTATTACTTTAATTAATAATTACGCTATTGGAAAATTTACAAGAGACGATAATAATTTAATGTTATATATTACAATATCAAATCGAAAAATATCGCGGCTATAATTATATATAATAGTAATAACTTAATAAATTATTAGATAATTTATTTATAATACAATAATAAATTTTCCAATTTGGTCATGCACTTTATAAATTTCAATTTGATTGTTATATAATATGAGAAGATGATTAAATATAAAATTTCTTTCAGTTAGGTATATTTTTAATACCGGCAACCAGTATACCATTATTGCTGTTTTCTGGATTTTTTTTGAAATTAGGACAAATGCCTATGTACTTACAGCCTTTTAGCTTTGTGAGTTTTTTCAGGTACAGACAATTTTAAACTAAAACTTATTGCTATTAATTAAAAGCTTTCAGCTTTTAAATTTATTATTATTCATGGATATAATCTTTTCTGTATAAATTATTTTATATCAGTTATTTAATTAGCAAGAATTATTGTTTTGTATATTTTTGTACAGACATGTTTTTATTATATTACCAGTTTATTGTATTTTTTTAGTTAACGTAAAATTTTATTGCAGATATGCTTTTGAAGGAATACTGCAGGCGGTCTATCTTGACCGACCAAATCTATCATGCTGGGAAATTTATTGTTACTTGCGTTCGCCAAACAAGATTCTCTCGACGATGGGCATGTCAGCAGTGTCATTTCATGTAATTCTGATAATACTTAGCTCTTGGATACTCTGTTTACACGTGATCATTTATACAGTACTTCGTTGGAGAATTTATTATGCAAAAAAATAACGTATTCAGTTTATATTCATATTAAATCTGAAAGTATTCTCAGAGTGTGTCTCAAACAAAAAATTATCTATTTCTGTAACAGATCGAGTGAACAGACTGTTAAGAGAATTAATTATAAAATTAGAAATGTGAAAGGATGTACAAATTTTTTATACTTAAATATTATATATAAAATGTTACTTTAATAATAACGATATGATTGCTTCTATCTCTATGCCTTTAACAAATTTTTAAAATTTTAAATATACACACAATTTGTGCAAAAATTCCGTTTCGTCGTAGAACAACCTGAGAAAAAAAGTTTCACATATAATTATATATAATTATATATACATATATACGATATGTTACATTGAATATTAAGACGATTCTTTGTATGGTGTCAGCTTATTAACATATAACGTATAATATGTAAACGGAAAACATTTTATTAAACTCAACCCGTGGACATGCATAATCAGCGTCATTATAGGAGATGTATTTACTGATTGTGAGATTCTAATTACATATTTAGAACATTAGAGCGTGAAAAGATACTTTAATACATGTGGTAAAATTTCTACATATCAATTTTTATTTTTTACAATATTTGTCCAAGTTCAACCATTTGGGCAACTCTACAGAGAAATAATGAAAATCATCTTGTTAGTGGAAGAAAAATCGATAAAAATTACAATCAAATTATAAACAAAAATGTTTAAGTAAAAAAATTTATTTAGAAATAATTTTTTTCTTTTTACATTATATTTGTAACGTAAAATGAAAAATATTGAATAAGATATTAAAGATAAAAAAATTTTTTAATGCTAAAAAAGCATAAATATTTCTGACACACATAATGGCACAATTGTGTACATCCATGGCAATCGATTCTAATCCTTGGAAATTTTCACTTAGACGTACTTAGAAGTAGAGTAGTCAGACGACTTACGACTCCTATTGTAGTCGTTACATAAACACTAGTCGTTTCGTTAATTGTGCACAAACTATCAGTATTAATGTAGAAAAGTGAGTCATTATGTGTGTCAGAAATATTTTAAAATGAAAATTTTCGAGGGATAGAACCGATTACCATGGGTATACAACAGGTAAAAAGACTTATATCACTTTTATATTACTTATATTATTTTTACTTTAAACATCAAGATTCATCGTTCAATCATCAAGTATAGTGGAGAGAGACTACCTATACGAGCTGGCTACCATAATGACAACCGTGACAATATAGGAGTAGTCATCCAACGTCGACAGTTGCAACTGAGAACTTGAGCGATACACCTCGCAAACACTGGGTTCACTCGTTCTTTAAAAGTGAAAGGCGACTTTTCTCTTACGCTTATCAACAGCATGACGTTCACGCATAAAATCGGTGTACAATGCTACAATGGGTCATGTACGACTAATAACGTATTAAATGGTTATATAAGGCCAACGGCACGCGATGCATATTTTCTTGGATTACATGCGTTTTAGTCAATTACTAGAAATTCTGCGTTTGGTATGGTGTAATTCTAGTAATTGACTAAAATGCAAGCAAAGTAGCAGGAAAACATGCATCGTGTGTGCTGGCTTGTTAGTAGTGCATCATGCACATTTGTTGTCGCGTACGTGCAGTGCAAACGCGGGCTCCTTCAATTAATCAATTGACAGCGGACGGCTAATTTCACGAAGTGTTCGGCAAGATGCTGGAAGCGAACGATAAAAATGATGCAGCGGTGAGGATGCTCGACGGTGACTGCAAGATCCATGTGCAGGAATCGGAAAAATTGCTAGAATCCAAAAAATCGCAAATATACATCGAATTCAACGATCTCTGTTACTCAGTTCGCAATCGCAAAGGTAAGCTCATTTCGTCATCCTGCATATATTTAAGATGATTTCATCGCGCAAGTCCCAGTCAAAAGTTAGTCTCTCCATATGACTAATAATTCCTTATAGAACATACATATATTACTGGAAGGAGAATTGCTTATATCTTTCTCTCTCGCACAGATGTTGGCTTCACATTCAGCACTCAATTCTCCTTCCAGTAATATATATATGTTCTAAGAATAATTCAATAAAAACAAGCGTAATTCAATTTCGCATAGACTGTACATACGCGTTTGTGTGACGTTTATGTGACAACGTCACACTATCAAGTTGGCATTGAGGGATTCCTTAAGTCAAACTCACATACTTCTCGATATCTTGACACTTGGTTCGTACACTTCGTGATTTTCAAACAGTTTCAGATAATACAGGATTATACAGGAAATAATGACTGATCTAATCATTCGATTGAAATAACAATGAGATAATTACGCATATTGTTGCATCGCGATATATGTTGCATAAATATACTATGATTTACTTTTTGATTTGCGCATCAGACGCATTGGTCAACGATTCATTAGTATTTATGCACTGTTATTACGGATGTAGATTTTCTCAATCATTAATTAGCGAACTGTAAAAAAGTTTCTCGTACAAAAAAATTAAAAGTAATTAATGTTTAATGTTATAAAAGTTTTTTGCACACGAACATTATTTATGTATATCTCAACGTTTTAGTTAAAATTTAACCTAAGATAAATAACTTATATAGATATAAAACAACTTTATATTTAAAACATGCTGTATGTATAATACTATAGTTATGCACATATTGTCGCGAGCGCAAGGACGCGCGTTTTGCGACAATACAACGCTGATTAAGATAAATTATGGGCAACCACTGGAACGAAGTTCGAACTACCGGTTCGAGAATTATTTTATCAATATTGTATAAGCAAATTTTGTGTTAAGATCAAACAACGGAAGTTAAAAAAACGGCACTCAATTACGAAAAGAATGTCAACACCACGACTCGCTAAAAAGAGCTGACGCGACAAGAAAGTAAGGTCGACGGAGCGAATATAACCGGAGGTCAGAGAGCAAGAAACGTTCTTTGATTCCACAAACGTAAGATTAACTTTAATCTCGGTTTAACTTACTGTTTATCTCTTTCTAACTCTTAGATTAGAAAAAGATTTATCGAGTTGAACTTCGGTTAAATCGAGTTAAGATTACGAATTGTGAAACCGGGCCTTAGCCAATCGGTCTGTGTCCGCGTTAAATTATTGTATTCTCTCATGAAAAAAAAAACGAATTTTTATTAATTCACGCAAAAAGAAAATATTAAAAGTTGTGATTCAGCCGTTTTTTTTAAATTACGGAGATTACCTCTACGCTATTGTACGACTTCCGCTTCTAGGCACTTATTATTTCCAGTTATTTTCTGGAATATAGGAAAACAACACAATACATTGTAATTACAGATTTCTATAGAATAGATCGCTAACATGTTATAGTTTGTTACCAGTTGTGTTGAAGCCAGACGCCATATTTATCCGGTAATCACATACAATGCTTTATGAAGTAGTGTTAATGTACATTTAATAATATTGATTAAAATTTTGACGAAATGTAACCCATTACTGAATAAAGAGAGCTACTACCCCTTTTCCTGAATTATTATTTTTACTTCATTTCTTGGAACTAGCGATAGTATATAGAAATCTGTGATTGTAATTGATAAAATTAGTAATAAAATAACTATATGTACTAACATTCTTACCTGCGTCCATATTATTTTGATCGAAGTAACAAAATTTTACATATATATGACTTTGTATATTAATTAACAAATATTTAAAATTTTTAACAATTTTGTACAATGATATAAAACATTTTTATCATTTAAATGGGGCTTGATTTAGACCAAATAGGTCTAACCTAATAATAATGCTACATCAATATGATTATATTAAATCTTGTATTTAGAAAACCCTATACCCTTATAAATCGTAAAAAGAACTGAATAACTTTCTATAAATTAATTAAAAATAATGAATTATTAAAAAAGTTTATTTTTATTACAAAAGCGTGAATTAAAATTAGCAACTAGCAATTCTATTAATCAAAGATTCTCCTTTTTAACGTTCATTTCTTGCATTGTTTCTTAGACCGTCTTTATAAGCAAATTGATTTATATTCCAAACCTGTTTCTATTGACTTAAACACTCTTTTTTAAAATAAAATTAAAATGTTATTATAAATTATAATATGTTATAAAATTTTTGTTTTTATTATGAAGCTTATTAATTATAAGTTTCAACTTGTATAACGTTCAAAAATTATCTTTTTTCTAAAAATTTTAATAAA